GGGTGCGCCGAATATGCCGGCATAATAATGGGAATAATGGGGCATGCGGGGCACCGGGCATAATATGGGAATAATAGGAAGAATACTGAGCATAAACGGAGTCAGTGACACGTGTTGTAAAACATGGCCGCCAGTTCCAGTACGAGTAGTAGTGCACTTCCTAGTTCGTACGACCCATGCAGTAGCGATTCTGAATGAGACGGAGACATATGTAAAGAAAAGGAGGGTATCACTACTTGACCGGCTAAAGAATCCAACTCCAGCTGACATAGCGCGACCGAGGAAGATCAGGAAAAATCAGCCTCCTCGCGGAAAGCGAACTTGCAGAGGAACACTTGGATCTGACCCAAAGGGAGTTTCTCCGAGTCAGCGGGTAAGAGAGTTTCCAACAGAGCCGTTAACTGTCAGTCATGGCCAGCTCTTCTGTTCAGCGTGTCGCGAACAGCTCAGCCTCAAGCGAAGTATCCTGAAGAACCACGTCGAGTCGGTGAAGCACCGAAACTCCAAAGAGCGACTTGCAAGGAAGGGTGCAAGGGAACGCGACATTGCTTCTAGCTTGAAGAAGTACAACGAGCAAGTTCATCCACGAGGAGAGACTCTGCCAGAACAGCAACAAGTGTACCGAGTGAAAGTCGTTTCGACGTTTCTAAAGGCTGGTGTTCCCCTCAGTAAAATCTCAAAGTTTCGAGACCTCTTCGAGGAGAACGCAGCTCGACTTACCGACAACCATGGTATGTACGATTACTTACCATTCATTTTGAGTGAAGAAGAGACCCGTATACGCTCAGAGATCAATGACCGCCCAGTATCTGTAATTTTTGACGGCACTTCTCGTGTTGGTGAGGCTCTTGCTATACTCTTGCGATTTGTAGATGCAGAATGGTGTGTTCAGCAGCGTCTAGTTCGAGTTCAGATGCTAGCAAAATCACTCTCCGGCGAAGAGCTTGCAAGGGAGCTTATAAGTGTTTTATCAGTGACATACAGCATTAGATCTAATACACTCCTTGCTGCCATGAGAGATGGGGCGTCGGTGAATAGTGTTGCTATCCGTACACTAAAAGTTGTGTATCCATTGCTTTTTGATGTGTGATGTTTTTCGCACACGATGATCGTGTTGGCAGCCATTTTCAGACCCCAACTCTAAGTGAATTTATTACCCTGCGGATCTGCTTATTTTCACATAGCCCCAAGACTAGACTGCTATGGAGGTCAAGGACCAACAAGAGTATGTCCAGCTACAGCCCAACACGATGGTGGAGCAAATGGGAGGTGGTTAGGGAGGTAATGCTCTACTTCGCTGATATTGAGCCTTTCCTCCGAGAAAATGAAGACATTGGTCCACATCTTCGCTCAAAGTTACTTGCCTTTTTTGACAACCCTCAGGTTACGTCAAAGCTTCGGGTTGAGATAGCAGCAACTGTAGATTGGGGGGAACCATTCGTAAAAGCTTGCTATACACTTGAAGGTGATGGGCCCTTATCTTTTGAATGTTTGAAATATTGGAGACGGTTAAAGCTGCTATTGCCGTAGAGAATATTCCTAATGTGCGAGGTGTTGCTCATATGTTAACTAGGCAGCCACCTCAGCACCCACACCATCAGCAGTGGGTTACCTATGCAAGAGAATGTGTAAAGAGTGGACTTGACTACTTCGATACTCAATTTTCAACCAAAATGAAAGATGCTCTTGATGTTTTCAAATGTTGCCGACTTTTTTCACCTCACAAAGTAAGAGAAATTAATCCAACTGCCTTATCTCTGGATCCAATACCTAGCCTGTGTACCCTTTTTTGACGACACTGAGCGGGCCGGTCTCAAGGACGAGCTTCCTACATATCTTTCAAAGGTGCATGACTTAGACAATGCATACGATCCACTGGAGTGGTGGAAGACAAATGCAAGTGCATTACCCTGCTGGTCTCTGGCGGCTCAGAAAATTGTCCTTGTTCAGCCATCATCGGCCGCTGCTGAAAGTCTTTTCACTATTAAAATCTAGTTTTGGACATCAACAGGACAAATCTCTTAAGGATTATGTAGAATCGTCACGCATGTTACAGTATAATAAGAGATAATTTTGTAATGTGGGAATAATTGCATAAATGAAAGGGAATAAAAAAGGGAATTATAGGGGGAAATCGCAAGCAGTGCAGAATTGAAGCACATTAGGCCTAAGCCTATTTACAGTACGTGGGAAAGATATTATGTAGTATGTGCACTGAAGGTATAGTAGGGATGTGTAAAAGCGCTATTTCATCAAATGACCTTTGACCTTTGACCTTTGCAAATGTAAGTATCGAGAGAGCCTGGACTTGGGCAGTTTTAAGCTCTTGGAGAACTGCGCACGTGTACAATTGCTACTCCTTCTAATTGCATCATCCTGGGATTACGCCATTTACCGGACCAGGCTCTCCACATTCTTATTTTCCACAGTGCAAAGGTCATTGCGACAACAAGGGGGAAAAAGGTTGGGGATGAAGCTATCAGAATATACACAAGCTTAAAAAAAGGTACACATTAGGAAAGATAAGGTGTTTGTCTTGTACAGGGTAGAACAGCCAAACAAAATGTACCTGCTAGTTGGTAGACACCATAACATACACACAAATCCCATATCTACGGCATCTCTTAAAATTTGAACACACTTTCGAACAAATATACACAGTAATTGCTTCTGTTTCAGTACAAAAGAGGCCAGAACAATTACAGATCGAGCATTGCCCATGACATTTGTTTCACATTGCATTGCAATGCCAGAGAAGGCACATGCGACCATTCACATTCTCTTAGTGGATATAGGCCGAGTCTAGGGCCTAAACCAGGGGAGAGGGTCTAAAACATGGAAGTGTTCATGTGTATTTTCCCCAGCAACTCAAGTGGGTACAGTTTACTCGGTCACTTAATTATAACGGTGTGTGCACGCCCTTCCTTCATGTAAGAGAAACCGTGTGTTTAGAGTTCTATACGTGATATATGGGAACGAGGGTCCTGGTTCCCGTAATCCATGTATGGAACGATAGGACGCACATTATGCGTATTATGTGTGTTTTATTGTGACTTTGTAGCAGTCGTTGCCCTCCAGCGAGAGAAATGTGATGGCGTAGCGTACTTCCCATGCGCACTCGCTGGCTTCTCGAGCTAGTTCTCTGTTCTCGAAGCTACCGCAATGGAACAAGGTCGTGATGGTAGCCCTTTCTCTGCCAGAGAAACTTGTTTCATAGGTCGCTGGGCCGTTTGACCGGTCGGTGTGCCGTCGCTGTGGTCTCATTTGCCACAGGGAGCAAGCGTGTAGAAGAGATAGCTGAATGAGTGATTTTAAGCACATTAACAATTACCATTAGCCTGTCTTCAGCAAGTATATAAATGGGTACTTTGGAATTTCTACAAGCAACAGTTCCTGGGGTGTGGTCGCCTCCAGCCTCTACAGCACAGTTTTTGTCTACACTATGTGTACGATGCTGATGCTAGTTAACCCTCGGCGCGCATGCACAGCGAGGGTTACTGTAGTTGGTTCGTGAGTGTGTTTGTGCGTTTGTCCGTTCGTCTGTTACCACGCTTTCTGTGACTACGCGCAACGAGACAACGAAACAGCGATACCAACGGGTTCATCGCTACACTGGCTTCATATACATAAAGGCGATTTTCGTATAACTACTGCGTTCAGAAGTTATGGCGTGAAAAGCAAGTGAACAAGCCAATATTGAAATTTGTACAAGGTTACCTTGACCGGGTCCGCTTGCTCTGTGTGCCTTGGAGGCGCAAGAAGTCACAACGAAGGAGGTGTATCGACTCTCGCATGCTATCTACTACTGTAGCCAGACTCTCCACGATCTACCAGCGGGAAACCACGAGTAAACGCATACTAATAACAACTAGAGGTATCGTGCACGCGCAGCTCGCCGAGGGTTTTGCACTTTAGTGCTTTTCATTCAATAATTTTTTATTGGTCGTATTGAATGCATACTATAATACGGGAAATATGCACGGATCCTTTGATCCGCCTACACAAGTCACAATAAACACTCTTAATGCACATAAACAGTGAGCTCCTCACACTTGGTTTGCAGCACAAACTAGACCCTCTCCTTTTTATAGAGAAGGTCTATGTTCAAGACCAACAGACACCAGATATCAATTTTCATACTAATAAATCAATGGTTAGATGACACACTTCTCAACAGGGGTAAAAATACTAGTGATGGATTCTCTTACCTCTGGTGAGTTTTTTGACAATTAGCTCCTTTAACTGTTTGGCCTGGTAGTTGTTGGGCTCCATTTGCAGTAATCTGTCAATACAACGGTCAGCTGACTCGTATTCCTGCGTGAAAAAAACAGTATAAAAACATACAGTATAAACAATGTACACATGAGGTATTTGTATTGAGTCAATGCATACATAAAAACACCTCAGTAAACCTTTACGCGATTAGCGCTGTCAGTATCTGGTTCACAAGTAGCTGGTTAGGTAAAACAACCTTGTTACTTCTTTGTATAAATTTGGATGGATGCCTCTATATATTAGTGTATAAAAAATTCCCCACTCGCCTTTAACTGCATAAGCAGTAATTCATTCAGTAAAGTTTAAAACACTTTGCGCACCGCGTAGTATTGCGGAACTTTTTCTGCGTACGCGGCATTACGCATGTGCAGAATATTGCCACGCCCATCCACGTAATACATAATTCCGTGCCGCTAAAGTGGTGCGTGGCATTGCGGAGCCCATAGTGTTAAGTAAAGTTCAAAATTTAAGAAGTTTTCCCTGCAGAATGTGTGTGCATTATAGGCGGCAGGGTTTGTTCAACGTGAATGATGCATACAAAAAAAGGGAGTTCCTCATTCTGAGATTGTTGCTCCTATGCCAGTTTTAAACCGTAATTCCTTATCAGCACACAAGGCATGTTGACACACGAAAGTTGGCCTTTCGGAACTTATTCAGAATTTCCGTGGTTGGGCAGAGTTTTCTAAACAGCATTATTATGTACTGGGATGTCTATCGAAAAACGATGGATACATTTCCCTTCTCAACAAGTGTTGACAATTCTTGATCAAACAAGAAGAAACTAGTCTATTTATTATAAGGTAACCTGTGTAAAAGAATGTGAGCAAAAGCATGCATATATGGTGACAGCTGCGAAATACGGCACTTTTACACACTCAAGTGGGAAGTCACGCCAATTTACGCAGACTGAGCGTCCGCACGTAAACGCGTGATGGTGTGCTCCACCCACAATCGCCGGCGTATTCTATACACTCACAGTATGTCGCGAAGCAAACGCTTCCACGTGTATAGCCACGCAATGACACACCGACGATTGTGCGGAATAGTGCTCTAAAGTGTAAATACTTGCGGGTGCGACCGCGCTTGTTTACGCTTTACTGCGTAAGGGCACGACGACGGCGTGCGTAATAACACGTAGTAAAACACCGCGAAATAATACGCCTATACCCGAGTATGCGCGCATTGTTTTTACATGGGAAATTTGTGGTGCTCTAGAGAAAAGAAGGTTTCATCTCTATTTATGACTTATGCATCCTTAATGTCGTCATTCTATGTTCCGATAATTGGTCCTGGTCTTTCTACTGTTGTTTAATAGTCCTGTATTGCTACTCAGATTATTATTTATTGTAAAATTATCTGCATCCAAGCTGTGTTCTAACCTTAGCCTATAAAAACTCCACACAGCAAGTTGCAAGATAATACGACAATAATCTTTGAGATCTTCAAGGAGAAGAGGTTCTTTAAAGCAATCCAAACTTTTAATGCAGCCTTAAGAGGGTTTTTACCCCAAAAACATTTTTTATACACATTCATGTGTAATACACAGGCAAATGTCATCAATGCCCAGCAAAAATCTGGAACGTGGCATTATAGAACATATGTTCAGTAAAAACTGTACTTAATAAATGGCTCAGGTCAGTGAAGCTCCAGTCAGTGCAATTTCTTATTGATACTAAACAGTAGAAGCCTGGGCTGGTTATAACAGCAGCGAAGTAATCTACGTAGTTTTTTTCAAGTCTCTGATAGAACCCTTCTACAGTTCTAGGAGTCTCTGGCGGGAAGGACAGGACACAACGAGGCATCGAGAATGGATCGAAGAAAGGTTTGTTATCTTAATGTCACCCAATGTGCAACTTCGTTTCAAATCATAAACCTTTTTTTCACCACCACCCATTTACAAGTTGTTGGTGGTGTGCATCCTCCCTCCTGTGTGTATTTCCTATTCAACCTCACCCCACTGGTCCCACCTCTGCCACAGTTGCCTCTAGGCGCTGCAATTGCCACACAAACATGAAGAGAAATGACATTCCTGAGGTTGACTTGCTCCCGGTCTAACATGAGACACTTCTGTGTGGGGTTATTTTAGGAAAGTGAAGGCAACCATAATGGAAAAGGTGTATGTTATTGTGTATGTGGTAACCAGGCATTTGACATAATGTGCCCTGTAAAGTCAGTGCAGGCTATTATTTGTGTAATGCACTCTTCCAGTTATATACATTACTGGTATTGTTTTCTAGGGAGTACCAGATTTCGAGCTCATGATCAATGAAGATATTTTCCTCATCGGCGAGGTATTTTGGGTTAGAAGTCTTCAACACAGCTTGTTTATCTAAAAAGGCCAAGACTAAGACGGACATGAGTACAAAAGGAATGGGTCAGGGGCTGTTGGGGGTACTTGCAACCCTGAAAATAACAGCGAAAAAGCCTCATTATGGGATTCTCTTGAGCCCGAAGGAGGTATGTTTTGCACCTCCTTTCTCCACCAACATAAGTGTTGTTTCCTGTGTCTGATCTGCAGGTCCACATTGTGTGTGTGTCTCGTCGGCATTCCACGATTTTCATCCTTTTTGCATTGTATGAAATTGCTAGTGCAAGAGCAATAGCGCTACGGCAAGAAGTGAACAGCACTACAATAGTGCACTAGAGCACAAACTGCGTTGTATTGAATATAAAACATTGACAGCTGAGAGAGATCGAGAAGTTGCAGAAGGATCAGGAGTATATACCATGCCAAACTCCATACCTGACGGAGCAGCACCTGCATGTTTACGAGCAAACATCAACAGAAAGGTGAAATAGCACTCTTATGGGCATTTTGTTGGACTATTGGCAAACTGGTCGGCTGCAGTGGGCTGAGTCCCCTGGGACACGTTGCTAGGAGCGGGGGTGTCTTGCAATTTGTTGGCAGTGTAAGTGTACTCTACAGAACAACAATTTTGTCTATATCCAGCAACAAGAGATAAGAAAGAGCTCACACTTAAAATATGTCATCACCTTATTCCTGCCAAGCAATAAACCTTTGATTTCCTTGTCTCCACTTTTGTAATTTTTTAAAGTGGAGTCGAACAGCAGTCATCATGGAGAATACGATAAAGTGGAGAAAAAATTGATGGCAGATGTCAAAGTGCAATCAGAAAAAGAGGTGATTGTCTGGATTCATTCCAAAATGTACCCCCTAGGATAGGGCAATCGACAATTTTAGCCCCTGATTCAGAAGAGGAAGAGGTAGTTGCTGCGCCCTCCCCTCGGCCAACACCTCTCTCCACCCAACTCCCTGACTCTGGCTCCCAACCACTCAGTACATCAACTCCGGAGAAGAAAGAGCCTGCTCCTCGGAGCCCCAGCCCTCCAAAAGCCATGCCCACAAAGAAACGACAGAGGCGCCCCTGCCCAATACCCGAATGTAAAGGGACACTCCATGTCAATATGTGGAACCATATTCTCCAGACTAATAAGAGTGAAGGAAAATATTCAAGTAAGTTCCCTATTGTTGCATTGTTATCTCAAAGTACAATGGGCTAGATAGGACCCCAGGGACAGAAAACGTAGGGTATTGCTATAGGTTATGAAGTACTTACTAATTACCTTTGTCATTTGTCATGCTATATTTCCATTTAGTGCCCATTTTGGTGGAAGTGTAATCAGCTGACCATAACATGGATATACATGTATATACATGGAAAAATTGTGTAACGCAAGAAAACAAAATTGAAGTATGCAAGGTTGGCTGATATATTCACGAGGAAGTAGTAAAGAACCGATACGACGATATGGGGCTGTTGTAATGACCTGTGGGAGTCCTAACTCCTCGCTAGCATCCCTATCTTGTCTCCCTTTCTTTCCTATATGCACTCTTTTTTTTTCATCCGCAGGATTTTTTTATTTACTTGTAAAAGTACAAAAGCAATCACCAGGTGTAATCAAGGTGTTCCAAATGAGTAGCTGTCCTTTATTTCCCCTCACATGCCGCGACTACTGCTCTAGCTACAGATTCTGGGCATTTTGATACGGTTAGCAGCACGGCGGACCGTTTGACAACCACCTCGCGTGGCTGGAATGCATGTTGATGTTCGGTTTGTTGTCTCACTCTCTTCTCTGTTTCTCTCTCGCCGTTTGTAGATGTCTCACACCTGCACACTGCCCAGCTGGGATGTGGAGGCTAGTTGCCTCCCGTGTCAACAATGTGAACCAATCGATCCCGACCCGGTCATCTTTATCGTACTATACGATGGGCCGACACATCGGGCTCTCGCCCTGCCGGGTGCTCCTGTGGCCCAGCATGTGGTGCACCCGCACATGTCCTCCATTGAGCTGAAGCTATTTATACAGGAGTACGCCCGCAGGGAGGCGAAGCTAACCTATTCCGCTCATGCTGTCACAAAGGATTGTGTACCACCCCCTTTGTACCACCCAGGGATACTGAGTGGGCTGAGTGAGAGGCAGTACGCAGAAGTGACGAAGTCTCTCCTGGAAATGTTCACCAGGTGCCTCCCGGGGCAACGTACCCCAGTCGCCAACTGGTCCCTGGCTGTACAGGGTGCTGGGTTAAACCCGATAGGGCATGTATACGTTTTCCAGAGCACAAACGTAGAGGAGGTCCAAGAACTGCACATCAGGGGTGCTTTTGCACCCTGACTGCCAAGACAATTATTTGTGAACTCTGAACTCTGAACCACCAAGACCATTATGTCTGAACTCTGAACCAGGTATTTATGGAATGATGTAAACC